GTGCTCTGGCCTGGTCCATTCCCATGGCCTTTTATCTCTAAGTGATGCTTGTCCTGGGCCAGAGGTGTCTTCCAAGGACATCCCAGCCATGTGCAATCAGACACAACAGCTTATGCTGCTTCCCACTTACGCTTTGTGTGCATGTAGCATCGCCCGGAGATCTGTGGGATATCAGGCCTGGATTCACCTCTCTTCTTTTACACATCTCTCCCTGTCTCCTGCCTGCCTTTGTAGTCAACTGGGAGAGATCAGCAATTCCAGGATTCTGGCTCTCACCGAGCGCGGCGCCTGCATTAGGCTGCGTGAATTACCGGAGCCCATGTCTCTCTGGACTGTAGACAGAGCCCCAGGTGCTCTGCTCTCAGATGCAGACATCCTTACTCTGAACATCTAAAGCTGGGTGAAACAGCCACCACCCTTCACATTTCTCACATACATTAAAGGCTGAGTGGCTGATAAGGAACCTGCTAGATTCTAGCCTAAATTCCTTAATGTCCAATTTATACAAACCTGTCCTTGTAGCGACATTGTCCTGCAACTTTATGATGCTTTTCCACCCTGTAGGTACTTGGGCTGTGCCTCTCTTTAGACAGAACGAGACCATTCCCTTTTATCTCTCTGTGAAAGCCAAGGTCCTCCAGCATTTTCCACATAAGGGCTCTCCATTCCCTTCATTGCCGTAGTAGTTCTCTTCCACCACTGGTTTCTTGCTCAAGGGTGATTAAAAGAAGACACTATATTCCAGATGAGATCCCTCAAGGCCATATTGAGGGAATTCTCCTCTATTTCTACTGGTAACATTGAGCCTGGTGATCCCAGGATTATATTACCCCAATGTGCTGCACCACATTGGCAACTCAGGGTCATCCCGGGGCTGAATAATGCATATGGATGTTTCTTTCTGCTGGAAGCAACTACAGTCTGCTTCCATCTGCAATGTCCAGTCTTTTTCTGACCTAAGCTTTATACCTGGACAACTTATCACCAGGTGGAAAGTCTTATCTCAAGGGTTACCCAACGACCTGTGGAAAACCAGCAGGATTGAGCCAGCTCTCAGTCTGTCTTTAAGAACCTCCTGATGCAAAAAAAGGGCTGGGAAGAAAATAGCTTTCAAAGCTGTGACCTATGAGAAGAAATAAGTCCAGAAAAGAAACTGTTATAGAGTGAAACAGGCGCTGCATTTGGCCAGACTTTGCTGAAACAGAATACTCTGACAGCCCTTGAGTAACTGGGTTTCTGCATGGGGCTGGGAAAGGGATTTGTTCGTTGCTGTTTATTCAGCTTTGGGTTTGGGGAAATATCAACATCTTTTTTGTTGTTTTTTTTTTGTTTTCTTTCCTTTCCAAACGAGTTAGAAATTTCAAAATCCTGAAACTCTTCCCAAAACGAAAGAGCTGGGTATTGCCCAACTCCTTCTGTTCCTACCTCCACCCTCCCGATGAGTTATACATAGGGTGTGACATTCTGGGATCGCGCTGATCCCCAGGTGCTGGAAAGGGCCACTTCCAGCAGCTTCTCCCTAAGTAGGGCTCAATCCTGCTGTCAGTTGGTAAACCTGTCCCTGCTGAGAACACCCAATTCCCTTGGCTCAGCCACTTAAAGGTGCAGTTCCCATCAGCATCCCAGAGCCAGCTGCTAAAGCTGCTCCTGACCCTATGTTCTTTATCTGCATGGACCTCGGGGCAGTTGTTTCTCATTCACACCACTATAAATAAGAGCCAAATCAAGCTATTAGTGTCTCACACCTCAAGCATTGGGGCTTTCTCTGCGTTTGTAGAAAAGGTTGAGGTTATTACCAAAGAGGTGAAAATGAGATAATAACTGATGTCTCAAGGGTGCCAGGCATCCTGGGCTGAAGTGATTCTTTATTTCAAGTGCATCATAATTCACTGGTGACTGCTAACTGGAGCCTGGTGCCTTTATGGGCTGCTAGCAGATGATTATAGAAAATACGGTAATTAAATAAGTACTTCAGCTGGGGAGGTTTGGCCTGGGAAGGAGTAAAATTAGACAGGGCAGTATGAGCTGTTCCAAAGCGTGAACTCTGATTGATTTCACTTTCTGTTCTTGTAACGTGTCCAGTAATATTCAGGAGGAGGAGGTCTGTGACTGGTGAATTGGAGTCAATAGGCTAAAACACCCAGTGTGTCACGGTGATGCTTAGCCCGGTTCCATAATGTACAATACAAGCAGGGGACACGCAAGCTTTGGGAGCCAAAAGGTCCCAAGTCCTATTAGCAAGGGGAATGTTTGACCAGAGCTGTGCAGCAGATCAGTGGGAAGCTATGGGGAGTCCTCAGACCTGGCTTCAGGAGCTGCCTTTTCTGCCCTGCTGCCTGTTCCCTTTGCCAGGCAACTGCTGGGATTCCAGAGTAAAAGCGGTTCTTGGGGGCTCCTATTCATGATGTATTTATGATAACATCTCTTTGGGGGAGCTTGGCGAAGCTCACAGCTCTTCCCCCTCACTGTGTTTTGCATGCAGTGCTCCTCTCCAGCATAACAATTCACAGCAAAGCCAAGGCCAGGGGTTGAACTGGCTCCAACCAGTAGGAACCTGCAATTAGCCAAGCATCTCTGGGATGCCATCAACGCAGGATTCCCTTTGATGAAGCGTCGTATCCAGGTAACCTGTTCCTAATCAAACAAGACACCTTGGTGTGCAGGAAAGGGCACTGCTGGCTATTCCGGGTGCTCCAGGAGTGTGCTGTGGGCAGAGCAAACAGGAAGCTGAGGGATGGACCACTGAGAGCCACTCCACCTTTGCCCAGGGGTGTTGGGCAGGTGACGAGTCACTTAGAGCTGCTCCTGCTCCAGCTCCTGCTCCGGCAGTGACGCATTGTTTTGAACGAGAAATTCCAAGAGCGTTGATGGTCCTTTTGCTTTAGGGGCAGCGTCATTGCTTGAGGTTTTTGGGGTTAAGTCCACAAAGGTGCTGACCTTCCTTGCTCTCAGGAACCCTGCAGGATTTGGGGCCAGGGCTCACCCTAGAAGCACCCTTTGGAGGTGCCAAAGGAAGGAGGAATGTCAACCAGAGCTTTCCTCTTGAGTAGATGGAGAGAGCGCCCATTCCAAAACATGAGTCATGGAGGCTCTGAACCACCCTCTTTGGTGGAGGCCACCTCTCTTTTCTTGCTGCAGCCCATAGAGGGAGCTGATGGTGCTTTGAATCACCTGGCACGAAATCTTGTCCTCGGTGCTTACATAAGAGCGGGATGCCGAAATACCTGTATGGCTTGGGATTTTTGGAGCCACCCATGAGGCCTTTGGTCTCTCCTTGCCATGTGGCTGTTGCAGCACCTCGTGATGCTGGTGCAGAGGGTTAGATAAGGTAACTGACGGCATTAAAGAGGTGCCATTCAACGTCTGCTCAGACTGCCCTCTCTGGGGTTCCCTTCTCTGTTTGGGTTTCCTTCCTCTTCCTATTAGAGATGATCTCTAGACTGAACCTTTTGGAGGACTTGGGTCTAAGAGGATGAACTATTCTAGACCCCAGGAGTGGAACGATGAGTGGTATTTTGAATTCCATCTCTGCTGGAGCGTGATGAGATTCCCTCAGATGTGAATAGCTGCTGAAAACACTCAGGTTGAGACATGATGCAATGATCCTAGGAGCTCTTCCAAGACATTGCCTCTTGGGCCAGTGTGCAGGGAGTGGAGCTGGGGCCATCAGAGCTGGCAGCACAATTGAGCCAAACCAGTTGCAGCTGTTTCTGCGGACTGATGGGCTCTACATCACACACAGGGACAAGAGCCTTCCACTGTCTCCTTGGGGATTGCTGCTCTAGACTCTTTCACTTGATGCTTTGCTGTTCTCAGTGCCTTGTGAGTAGGGAAGGGCAAGACATCAAAAGCTCAATGGGAGCATCCAAAAGTTCATCTGAAGCATGCAGACCTTTAGCATTTGTAACGGGAAGTTGGAGAGATTTCAAGCACTCTCATCCCACCTCCTGGCGCTTCTGTTTCTGGTTAGGGCCAGACATAACCACAAGAACAAGCTTTCTCACGGTGTTTCAGCACATTTCCTGTTGGTCCTGGAAGAACATTTGAAATTAAGAGGACATGTAGCCTTTGTAGAGCCACAAAGGCTCTGTTTTGGAAATAGGCACAGGCGCCCTGGCTGTTGGTAAGGAGTCACTTTACTTTCCTGAGCCAGTTTGCTCCATCCTGGCTAATAAATGAGTCCCCCCAAAAAAGCCAGAAGAGTTAATTCTATCTTATGGAGAAATGAGTCCTGCAGTGCTCTAATGTGATGGGAGCATCCCCAGATGCTTCAGGAGATTCAGATGGAGCAGCCTTGTGCAATGGGTAATCTTGGAGCCCACAGAGGGTCAGAGGTGGATGTGAGGATGGAATAACAGTGCTGTGGAGGGAACGTCCTCCATGGTGCTCTCACACCAGCCACTGTTTCCAGGGAGGCTTTGGCAATCTCTTTCATCAGAGGCCATTGGGCTGTGGGAAACAAAGGGCCATGGGCAGAGCTGGCTGGAAACTTGTGTGTGTGGTGGTGGGGAGGGAACTACATGGAATTATTTCACCTGGGGAAAGAGGAAGCCATTTGAAAATGGTTTCATCAAAGAGTTTGTCAGAGAACAAGCAGGGTTGATTCCAATGCAAGCATGGGATTTGCTGCATCTTCCTGGGATCGCTTTTGTTGTGACAGGCATTTGTAATCGAATGAAACCAAAGCACATGAAAAACAGCCAAGAGGAAAGCCCAGATCACCCCTTGGTCCCCAAAGCCCTTTGAGAGTTCTTCTGGTTGCAGACTGGAGCATGAGAAAGCAGCTTTGGGCTGGGAAAAGGCAAACTAAGGACCCACCAAGCCTTGCTGCCACCATAAGAGGTGAATTGTGTCCATGGAGACCTCCAGCCACATCCCTTTGATTCCTTCAAGTGCATGCTTGGGTTTAATTTGGGGCTCATGAAGGAGCCAGTGCTTGGGTGTGATGTATCTTGTTTCGGGTTTGAATCCTCACAATCTAACCTATTTTCTTTATCAAGATGACAGAGCATCGCACCAGAGAAGTTTAGACAGGCAGCAAGAGAGTTCTGAGGCACAGAAGGGTTGAAACCACAGAGCTGGGCTGGGATTTACCATCATCTCCCTACGAGGCACAGGTACAGTTTACTTTCCCTGTTTTATCTTTGCTAAGTCTTAATCACGGAGTTGCTGCAATTCCTTCAAAGAGGTTAAGTCAAGGGAAATCCCAGGTCAGGTCACCCATCCTCTGCCTCAGCTCTGATCCTGTGCTTTGCTAAACCCAGAAAGACGTGGATTTGGCTCAGCAGCAGGATTTGAACTGGAGGCTGGAATGAGAGCACTGAGAGGGTTGACCTCTGTCTTGCCTCAAGCATGGCAAGCCAGTGAGGGTAGAAAGATGTCCAGGTCTGTGTTACTTCAGACAGAGTTTCCACATCTCGCCTCTGCCTCTTGAGGAACTGTCTTTAACAACGTCCAAGCCCTGCATTTGACTTCAGTTGGGAACTCAGGCCCAATTTGTTTTGAGAGTGTCAACTCCATCGCTGGCAACATGGGAGGGTTTGGAAAAACCCCTGACAAGGGTGATACAGGCAGAGCTGTTCCTTTTTCAGGTGTGTGATGAGCAAGCTGACCTCTTGCCTTCTTCCTGTCCAGCTCCATCCCTTTCCTACCTTGCCTCTGCTCCTCTACATGGTGAGGCAATGCAACATCCTCATCTTGCCTGCTGTAACCCCCAGGTCCATGAGGATGAAAGCCCATCTGCTGATACATCATGCTCCCCCTTTGCAACCAGACTCACTGAGGGCTGACATCCAGCCACAAAGACCTTGCAGAAGCAGTGGGACAGGGGAAGAGAACTCAACCAAGACCACACAGGGGCTACCAGCCTTGCTTGGAGTCGATCCCAAATCCCTAGGCTTAGTTTGCCACCCGCGGGGCCACGCTGCCTCCCTTGGGCAAGGGGAAGTCTCCTGGGACAACCCTTTCTTCTTGTCAGCTTTTTTTTTTATTATTTAATTAAATGAAATTAAATTTCTGTAGCATCTTTTTTTTCTTCTTCTTATTATTACTGTGATGTACCTTAGGCATTGCTCTGAGTCCATCGGGGTGAGCTGTAGAGCACCCTGCGTAGACAGGTTGACTATCTGCCCGCCGCTCCTCCCTTCCCTCCCCCTCCTCTCCTCCAGCCACCCTAGAGCTACGCTGCACTAAACGTGCTTCAGTTTCATCCATCCCCAAGCTGCACATCAAAGGCTGCCTTTGCTTCCCTGGCAGGCTTCAGGGATTAATCACACCCGGGCCTGCGTGGAAAGCGTGACCGTGTCACACTTGTTTGTCTCGGATGGGAGCTCTTCTGGTTATCTTGCAGGGAAAGAATCATGGAATCAAAGGAAAAGACCTTGAAGCTCATCCAGTCCAACCAGCACTGCCAAGGCCACCACTAACCCATGGCATGAGGGCCTCGTCTACACGGTGTGTGAATGCTTCCAGGGATGGTGACTCCGGCGCTGCCTGTTCACCAACCAACTTGGTCAAAACCAACTTGTTGGCCTTCATGGATGGGCCATTTCCATTTTGATGTCTTTGGGTTACCAGCCACAGCCGAGCTTGGCTGTAGGTACCATGCAAGTGTAGAAGATGCTGTTACATAGAGTTAATGAACATCCTTGGTTCGCATTGCTGTAGCAGCCAGGAGTCCTTGGTGCAAACCTAGTGAAAGGAAGTGATTTCTGCCCCTAGAGCTCTGTAGTTGCCTCCTAAGGAGCCTGAGAAAACATTGCTGGTTGAATGGTCATTGTCTGTATCCATACACCCACCGAATAGGAGCTGTCAGAGGCTTTCTGGCCACCACAAGAAGGTCTAAAGCAGCATCTGGAGAAGAGCAAAGCCTCTGTGGAGAGGGCTGGCACCCGGAGATGACACTTGGGAGTTGCCTGTGTGCTGGTGACAGCCCTGCACTGCCATGGATTCACAGGGGCTGTGTTTGTACCCTTAGAGAATGGGAATCAGGAGCCAAAACTGCAGCTGGATGGGAGCAAGGATCCTTTCATGGACTTCAGCTGCTGCTTGGGTATGGGCTGGCATTGAGTTGTGGGAAAGACACAAGGAATCTGCTCTGCTTTGCTTGCCTTGCACTGCCTTCCCTCTTAAACCAAGTGGCCTTTTCTGCAGCTGCCCGTGATAGCAGCAGTGCTACAGGGTGGAGGAAGCTGGAGCTCACCCAGGGTGTGCAGCTTGGTCAGGGTTTTCCTGGAGATTGCCCCTGCACATGCAGAGGGAGATGAGCAGGAGGATCCTGGTTTGTGTGGCGTTATAGCCTGGATGTTTTAATCTTGGGCATCATCTCTGGCTAAAAACATTAGCTCACAGTTGCAGAAATAAACCCCAAGAGAGAGCAGGGCCCTGTATTGAGAAACAGGCACTGCCCCAAGGAGCTTGCAAAAAACCTGGGAGGGGAAGTAAACACCCCAGAGCAGGGCTGGGATTGCAGCACACTCCCCATGGCCCCATCCAGCAGCCTACACATGGGGCCCCAGTGTCCTCCTGGCTGCTTAACACCCAGCTCTGACCTGTGCTGCTTCTGGGGGCTCAGGTTGCCAGTAGGAAAAGGAGATGCCATGGATGTGAGGCTGAGTGGATGTGGTGATCTCCACTGGCTCAAGGCAGTCTGAGGATGGAGAAGAGCTGCTTGTAGCAGGGACTGGGCAGAGCTGATCATTTCCCAGTTGCCTGCTGTGCTGGGGAGCTGGAGCTGTCAGCTTGCAAAGCCTGAAGGATGTGTGGCATGCATTCCTTGAGCCCAAGACTTGGGGACTATACAGTGGTGCTGGGGGAGATGAGACTCCTGTATCTCTTACAGGGATGTGGCTTTGGACCAGCATAGTCTGAGGTGTCTGCAGCATCCTCAGGAGATGCCTGGGTACCTCCAGGCACGATCAGGAGAGCTCCTGGAGGATGCAGGCAGGGGAGGATTATGGCAGATGAAGTGATACCTTTGGCCACTGGAAGCTGTGTGGGATGATCTTGCTCCCTAGCTAATTTCCAGCTCCCAATTTAAATCCTCTGGGCTTCCTCTCGCCCTTGACAAGATCAAGATCCTGGGCACCCAAGGGTGAACACCCTGCCATTGCGTCCTCTTCCACAACCAAACCAGGCACGGAGGGATGCCTCTCCCTGTGTGTGCCATGGGGAAGAGGGAGATGGCTGATGGGGGAAAGAGGAGGTGGCTGCCTTCCTGTGGGTGTGTTTTCCAGAGCAGGACAGAAACCAAGACAGCTCAGGCACCAGCCAAACAAGGTGACTACGTTGTGAGGAATGCAGGCACAGGCTCTGTGCGTAGGGGAGATGCGGAGAAGAGATAGAGGGGCAGCTGCAAAAGGCTTTTGCCATCACAGTGATGGCACTGGCTCCTGAAAGGCAAGAGGAAGGGTCGGTCTCAGCACCTCCATCCAGAATGGAGTAACATGAAGGTGGTACAAACCTCAGTGCCACCAGACACTGTTGCTACTGATGGCAGAGCAGGGTGAATCAAGCTTTTAGAGAGGTGTTGGGATAGGAAGAACCATGAGGATTTTAAAACAGTTGTATAAAGATAAAGGGGTTGGATACAGATAAAATCCTTGTGCTTGAGCAGTGCAAGAGATGAAGGGACAGGCAGGAGCCATTCCAGGGCAGGTAATCCCCAAACCACTTCCTTTAGGATTCCCAGAGGAGGAACAGGAGGAATCCCAGGTCTCATCATAGAGCAGTTCTCCTCCTTTATGAGGTTTCCCTGTGCTAATATTGGGTTTACTCATCTGGAGTAAGGATCCATCTATCTGCTTCCCTAGGATGAATCGGGTCTTGGTACCAACATGGTCAAGAATGGTTTCTTCTGGCGCTGGAAAAGGCAATGGCAGGGAGTTTGTTATGAGCCTGTAGGTCCTGCAAGGGAGCAGGCCAGAGGGAACACATGAGACTCCCAGCTAACAAACTGGTTGTGTCCCCAGCCTGCAGAGCCAGGGGCATGAGGGCAGGAGATGGCCCCATTCCTCCCAGACAGGAGCTTTGGAGCTGGAGCTTTCCTCTCTGGGCATCAAACAAGCCCTGTTCATCTGGTCTGGGATGGAGGGATGAGCAGAGCAGTGGGTGCTGCCAGCATGGGAGAGGTGATGGGGAGGAGAGGCAGGGGAGGACCATGCGCTCCCCAAGGAGTGGCCCAGGCAGGATCCTAGATCAGGGGGAAGGATTCTTTATTTCCCTGGCTTCAAGTGCAGCCAAGGAGGGTGGGGAAACCCTCCTGTGTTTATCAGGAGTGAGCAGTTCATCGTGTCCTGCATTATGGGAGTATTTACACCTCTGTGCACATCCCTGTGCTCAATTCCCTGCTGGGGCCATTCTGGATTTGGCTCTGATGCAGCCCATGCAGAGCCGAGCCGTGCGTGTATTCATCCCCATCCGCCTTTGATCTTGAGCTCTGTCAAGAAAGATGCTTTGGCAGGAATCTTGCCCATCAAGTACCATCCATAGGCGGCTGCAATGTCACAGCTGTGACCAGGCCCTGACAGCTCCAGGAGCTGAGGTGTTGCCAAGTTTAAGCCAAGCCTCCACCTTCTGCCCTCAGGCTGGAGGCAGCTCCTTTCTGCACTATGCAAAGGATCAGAGCTCCCTGCTCCTGTGCCTGCTGAATTCAGGGGGTCAGCGGCTTCCAGGCATTGTCACAGGTTAGAGGAGCTGCCACTGATCCCCCCCCTGAGCCTTTGGTCTCACTGTACAGACACTGACCTGCTGCGGGTAGGAGCTGCTGTGTGGTCCCAGTGGCTGAGGAAGAGGATGGGGTGTTCTTCATCAGGGACTGCAGTGATAGGACATGGGGTAATGGGTTAAAACTGAAACAGGGGAAGTTCAGGTTAGATATAAGGAAGAAGTTCTTTCCTGTGAGGGTGCTGAGGTGCTGGAACAGGTTTCCCAAGGAATTTGTGAATGCTCCATCCCTGGCAGTGCTCAAGGACAGGTTAGACGGGGCCTTGAGGGACATGGTCTAGAGTGAGGTGTCCCTGCCCATGGCAGGGGTTGGAACTGAATGATCTTAAGGTCCTTTCCAACCCAAACCACTCTGGGATTCTGTGCTGCTGCCTGAGTGAAGAGCACATCACACGAGAGTGAAACTTACTCATTGCATCCTCAGATGATGCTGCTCCCTGTGCCACGGGCTGGGTACCACTGGGATGTCACCGGGTACCACTTGGGTACCAGTGATGCTGAGCTCCCTCACACCCCCCCTCCTTCCCAAATAGTCCCAAAGCTGTTTCCTTCCCCCGGCTCGGGGTGGGGAAGCCACTAGATGGCAACGTTACCTGCAGTGCGGCCCCGTCTCCTGGGGTCGGGGGTGGCCGGGACCCCGCAGTGCTGCCCGGTGGGCCCGGTTCGCTGAGGGCATTGCTGCTGCTGGGAGCACTGGGGAGGGCTTTTAGGCACGACCAAATCAAGCTGATTGGGAACCGGCCAGCACTGGAATGCACAGGAGCGTGTAACCTGCGGGAAACACCCCGTGCCTGCCCCTGCTCCCTTCACTGCCCGTGTTACATCAGTGCCATAGTCAAGCCTTGTTGTGTGAAGGGCTTTCGTCCTGGTGAGGTGGATGGGTGAGGTGTGAAAAGCCATCTCCTGTTAATCAGGGCTTGGAAAGGCAGGAGAAAGGCTGCTGAGAGCTGGTGGTGCTTTGGGCATGGTGTTTGTGTCTTACATCCGACTGGCTGGTGAGCTCCTGCAAGCAGAGGAGTTACTGACCTCGAGTTTGTAGTGCTTCCCATGTGTGGATCCTTCCCTGCTTCCCCTAATACGAGGAAGAGGAGCGGGATGGAGAAGCATGATGCCACGCTTCTCCAAGGCAGTCAGCTGGCCTGAATGGGAATGTTAATTAACTATCCATCACACTGGGGCCACAGTGCACGAGGAAATGAAACTACAGCCCTGAACAGAGAAAGGATGTGCTGTTCACCCAGGGAAGGACTTATGGGAGCTCCAAGCTGGAGCTTATAGTGATACAATAGGTAATATCATAAACAAGAGGCATCACCTCTGTGAGGCTGGAGAGGGTGGATCATGGTGGATGGGGATGGAGGCAGGAGTACAGTCCTGCCAATAGCTCTGTCCTTCCTCACTCCTGAGCTCCTCCACTCTCTTGCGGTGCCTCCAGGTGCTCAGTATTACTTCTCCTCCTCTTATTTAGAGCTTTCCTTGGTCTCTATCCATAGCCCTGCACTGAGCCAGCCCCACGAGAGATGCCACCACCATAGCATGGGAAAGGTGAGATTGGCCCAAGGGGAAGCAGCAGAGGCTGAGAGGTCTCAAGTCCCAGGTTCCTCCTCACGGCTCCTTCGCAGTAGACATCAATACTGCTCATCCATGAGGTTCTGCTCTGCCCTCTCCAGTGCCCTGGCAGGGATGCAGGTTGTCTGTGCCTCCCTGTGTG